CGGTCGTAGAGGAAGTAGCCAGGCTTCGGGTGGGGTGGGCAGAGACGCCCCCCGCCACTTGCTCGCTGGAGTTTGCCGGCGCGCCGGGCCTCTCCGGCCCCGAGCCCTGGGCTCTCCTACGCATCACCGACGGCAGCCCGATCCGGAGAGTATGGTGCCAGCGCCTGGGTTAATCTAGTCCTCGGCTAGCTCCTTTTTTCCCTCCTCCTCTGCCTCCTCTACCTCCGCCTTTCTCTCCTGTCGGTGCTGCCTCTGGGTTCCCGGCGTGTGGGAGTACAACTCTCTGCCTCTCCAAGGAAACTGGTCGGTGGACCACCTAACAGAACTTGCCCATTGAAAGCAAACCCAGAACAGCTGGATAATGTCCACTCCGAGCAGATTCAAAAAGGACAAAGAGATCATAGCCGAGTATGAAAGTCAAGTCAAAGGTAAGGATGGGAGCGGCTGCCTTGCTCCTTTTGTGTGCTTTCTTGTCATTGTGCTCCGGGAGTTGCTTTTCTAACTTGAGGTCTGCGTTGGAGGAAGGTGGTGAGGGACAGCTAGAGCGCCTGGCTGAGCCACCCGGGGCTTCGGGCAAGCCAATCCCAGTCCCAATCCTAGTCTCGTCAAGCCCCCAGGGAGCTGGAAACCGGGTGGCTTTCCCCCGCTGCCAGCGCGCACCTCCAGTAGGGGAGAACTGGCTTCAACTTAACCACCTTCAGCTGGGCAACTTAATAAGAGACAGGCGGCAGCTGTGGTTCCTGCCCAGTTACCATCACCATCACCTTTCTCATTCTATTTAAACCGATACCATTACCACAACGTAATTTTTGTAAGGAGTCGTTTTTCTTAAGTCTGGACCTGAAGTGATCTAGAGCTTCACTGAGTGCGGGCAATTTTCGACATTTGCACTGTTCACTAATTTATCAGGGCGAGTCCCCTTTTTATAAAAGAGCCCCTAAACGCCTAGCGGTTAAACCAAGCAGAGACTAGTGGAATGACTCCTCCTTTATAATGAGCCAGAATTCAGTGCCATCTTTCACACTCTCACACGGGAATATTGCTTTATCATTTGCTGGAGGCCACTTGCATTTAAATTGAAGGTTTGAATATTTGAATAGTAGTTTCAGTCCATTTACACTGTCAACTAATGAAGGAACCTAATTAAGGTTGATTAAGCATTTTTCTTTAATGTGCCTTGTGGTTCAAAAAATGTATTTTCTTTCTAGTACTATTGTTTTGTGTTGCTATTGAAGTGTTT